ACCACGAAGGCACAAAACAATCGTGACACCGACACAATCGATTTCATGCTTCACTGATCATCGCGCAGCCACACTTTCAATAACAAAGTAGACAAGTGAGAAGATACAAACACTTTTCAAACTTCTTCGAACTCAATGTGTCGTAACAAGCCCAAAGCAAACTAACCATCCGTATTACGACAATAGCTTCCCGAGGCAACATCGCAGCTTTGTGAGGCTCAAGCAATAAGCCGATATATCTTACTGATGGTTTGCTGCCGCGCAATCACCATTATTCGCGCACGGGTATGGAATACTAGAAGGAAGACCCCGAACAGTGAGCACTGAGGTAGATTGACGGTTAGTAGGGATCTCCATGGTATTGGTCCTGCAATGTGTGACGCGGATGGCTGGTCAAGACAAGTCACACGCCACTAACCAAATCTAATACGTGAGCATACCACCGGCTATGTCAGATCAGACAGCTGGTATGGTCATATGATAAAAGAAGTAAACAACACTAATTTTCATGTATTTGCCCCAGTAGCTCATTATCTACATAGCTGAACCATAATCCGGACAAGCACCAAACGCGTTTCGCCGTATCGTGGCTCGTCAGTGGTGCGCATCCCCTCGGTCCCCTAATAGGGATCGAATCCATGAAAGCTGAGGCTGACACTAACTAGCAAGCAACTTATGCCACTGAGCCATGGGGGAAGGCGACTGGGCTGCATGATTTGCAAGCTAACTGGGATATGGTACGACTTATCTTCCATGGGAACGCAAGTTAGCCCCACTGAAGATGACAGTGGCTAGCCTCCGAAGTCATGACTTCCTCTCACTAGACGCTATGTCCATAGTGTAATAAGCAAACGATATTCGCACGAGAATGATACCATTTCATTTGCCTCCTGATCACGGTGAGTCCGCAACATGCATCCGCATGTATGGTCCAACCAAGTCCTATTTCGGAAGTTCTGCCCAATTTGACCACTCAACGGATCTAACTAATACTAACTGATAGGCTATTAGCGCAGCTGATGCGGTTGTAAGAACTGCCAGTCTGCAGCCTAAGAGCTGTATCGTTCGGGTCCGAGTACTGCGCTAAGTACACAATTGCTATTCACCTATCAAGCCAAATAAACAAACTCTTCTCCGTATATGAATGGAGAAGACGTTACGCTTTTACCGATTGAACTGAACACGCAGGCCGGTAACTTCATTGGCCCCAAACGGACACAAAAAGCGGGTAGCCTGAGCTTCTATCAACTAGACACAGAATGCAGTGTTCTTGTGGATTTACTACATTGAGTCTGAGAAGTGCCGTACTCTCAAGTCGTGTTTGCTGCACTAGTAGACAGTGCTGCCCAGCTCCGCCCCCTCCCCCCCCCCTGAAAATCGCATCCATATAGTATGACACCATTCGCAGATTTAGAGCAATGGAAAGATGCAATGTGAGAAATGCATGGAAACGCCAAGTCCATCGCACAGTCAAATGCATTGATATTTGAGGAATCGACAACACAATACGGAATAGTGAAGGGATACCGAATAACTCGGTGAAGGCATGCGAGTTGAAGATTGATAGTTAAAGCTACATTCCGAATATCTAGTCAAATCAATTGATACGAGTGGGTCTTGACATCATTTTAAGAGATAAAGTTGAGACTAAGCAAAATGAGGTGTTCGTTCTTTTAAGGCTTGTGCAAATGTATGCATTTCTAGCTGTTTATTAATTTGTCAGATGCTCTTCCGCAGTGGTTGGAGTTGTTTGATTTCCCACTAACTCCACTCGACGGTTCCAACAAAAGTGGATAGACAGCCGTTGGAGTATTCAGTGTTCGTCCTGAATTCATAAATAGTGACGAATAAAGGCAAACATGACATACTTTGTGTTCTCATCAATGTCGTCGGAAAGTTTACAACGAAGAAAAAAAGCTTTGCATCTGCTTCTGGTAGCACCGTGCACACAGCGTTTGCAAAACACAACACGTGCCCGCAAGCAACTATTGATGCACCAACCGTCGCACTGCAACGAATAAACATTCCATCCGATGCATGATACTAGCAAAGATGCTATTGAGTTGCTGCACAGGTGACGTGAATCGCTCGATGTGGACTCAGTGCATACAAAACCAACTGGCAATGAGCACATAGGTACAGAAACACTGAGCAAGCTACAAGTTCAGAAGGCTTTGAATATAAATCGCTTTTGTATCACTTTATATTATGACCAGAGAACAAATGCGACTCAAACTGTTCCAAGCTTATTTCGAGACTGAGAGTAATGGAACTGCGTATTTGAATGGACTGAGGACTAATAATTTGCAAACAAACGAAAAACAGGTCAGAGTACTCTTAGCAAGGTCTCCGTTGTTTGCCGTTTTATCGTAAAAACTGCTTGTACAAACCGCTAGGAACAAGGATAGTTTAGCGAAAACAGATGAGGCCGCAGCTACGCGTGGCACATCTACCTCAGGAAGAACAGCAAAGAACATCTACCGGCAAGAAAGTACATCCTCTAAATACCACTAGCACAGACAAATTAGAGTCGAGATAGATGACCCGAGGATGGTTACAGTAATCCTCCTAATTGGTCAATATACAAAACCTTGGTAAGTAAAGTATTAGAACTAGGTGATTGGAACGACCGGAAAATGAGATTATACGTTGAAATCTCAGTATACGCCATTCGTTTGAAAGCTGTAATGTAAGACGAAACCAGTCGTGTGATGGAGTGCCAAAACATTTAACGCACTCAATCCGTGGCTGCCGGGACTGTCAGCGGTTTTAATTTAGATGTTGGGCAGCATTAAAGTAGCATCGTTTTCTTGAAAATTACTTTGTGTCAACGGGACCTGAATGTGCGCAACGTGGCACGAATACCCAGCTGTCTGCGTTACTCGAAGTATAAGACATTGCTGCAGTAGCAGTCGCAGTCAATTGTTCACCTACTTAACATATCGCCAGTGTGCGTTTTCTTCCCTATTCTATCGTCCGCCAGTCCCAAGTAATCAGTAGGAAATAAGCTCTCACTTTCAGCCACATGATACAGGTCAGAATCCTACTCAAGTCTGTCGTAGCAGTCCATGTTTGGCTTTGCAACGTCCACGTTTTGTGTCAACCCGGTCAAAAAGCAGCACCAACTCCTATTCAGCCTTATCTTGGGGTTGGTGCATGTCGAAGCGCAGTGTTATCTATCACATGTTCAGGAAGAGCTCTAGGAATAAAGAGCATATTCCAGATGAGAGAAGCCGAAGCGTTAGATGCGCGCACAATGGTGGCTTGACGGTGTTCGAACAAATGAGAAAAAAATACAGAAAGCGTTAAATCGCACGTCATCCGGTGTACTTGCTAAGGCTGACGCTTTTAATACACGTGATTGGCAAAACAAGTGTGGGAAGTTTCGTTTTGGCTTGTTGATGTCCATGTTAGTTAGGTTGGTTGATTTGAAGAAGCAATTGAACTAGCAACACCAACTTTGAAGTAGGTAGAAGGAAGCATAACAGATTTCTGAAGGGCGATCCATGTGTGGTAAACATGTAGAGAAACGAGATTTCGATGATAATTGAGGCCATTGTACCTTTCTGTAAGTCTCAAACGGTGATCACTTAAGCCGTTGTTATGAGTGGGCCTTAATAAATAACGACCTGGTAAATCACAAGGTTACAATGCAAGCACTCGTATCGTCGCTCATGTATGCACAAAGTGAGCAGCTGTGGGAATCAAAAACCAAGTGTCAGGGTGTTAACCAAAATAGTCCCAGCTGTGAAATACTCTTACTTGGCGTCACCTCTGACTACTCGTAGCGTCAGAAGACTTTCAGAAGCTACACGCTGAGAGCTTTGCGCGAAAAAATTCCAAAACACCCTGTCGCAGCACCTAATAACGCCGTAAATGTAACATCCGAAGTCAAGTCATGTTGAATTAAAGACGTCTCTGGAGTGAAGATCAGCATACTTTATCGAGGTCGAGGTGAAGGTGTAGTCCATCATCCGGAGTTTCGACCGCCCAATATGCGCCAATGTCGTTAGCATAAAACCTCTTTAAAGTAAAATGCTTGACATGATCAGGCCCACCAGATCGCTAATAAAAAAACAACAAACGCAGCTGCAATAGGGAACCATGTGGTACGCAGCATTCGACTTGGGTCTGATATGCACTTAGGCAATTTTACTTCCAGGTGATGGTGAAGAAGAGAGCTACTGATCAGCCTTACGATGGGATCACTGACACGATAGCCCTGAAGCTTAGAAAGAAGGATGCGATCGCCCAACCGATCGAGTGTTTCCAAAAGTCATTCATTTAATTTAGTATAGACAGGGAACACGGATGCATTGGTTCAGCCGATAAATAATAACGGTTAAGCCATTTTGCACCACTATAGATTAAAAGATGGAATGCAAGAAAGTAGTTCCCTGCATCACATTAGGGATAGTCAAGGACTGTCAAGTAAAGGGCCAAATGGTAAGGTTATATTTGTGGACTATGCGAAAGTAATCGAGGAATAAGGACCAGATAGCGTAATGTGACTACAACATAAACCAACAGATGAGCAGTGACTAATCAAACTGACACCGTCAAATGTCGGAATTGTGAGGACGATCACCTTGCATCCCATGCTATCACTCACTGTGCTATGCACTCTAAATGTCACCTGAAGTACGCTTAGGATGCTATAGAGATGGTTGGATTAATGGGAAAACAAACTGGTTGAGATGAGTGTTGCCAGCAGGTGACCGCCGAGTTGCGAAGTTCCAATAATTATGACTCGATAAAGACCTATAACTTCACCAAGGAGCAAGACCCATTTCAGCTCAGAGTATTTTCAACTAATTCCCTGCTCCCAGACGCCATACACTAGATATATACGTTTCATTAATTATGAATGGAAGGATTTTGGTGAGTATTTTTGTTCGTCGCAATTAGCCGACAATTCAGATATGTCGACCAGCTATCCGGAAAAGCACCAGACGTTTCATATATAAGCAACAGTTAGGTGACGCGGCGTTGGGTTGAGACTCGCTTACACGCCGTCATGCGGCTAAAATTGCAATGGACAAGCCCGTACGAGCCTACAGTTGCAAACCAGGGCCGCTAACTGGGCATCAGCGGTTTAAGTAGACCAAAAGATGAAGACTGGGAACACGTTATGGTTGATTGATGGCACAGAATGACATTCACGCAGCCACTATAATACGGTTGACACCGGATTCAGATCAAGATAAACAAGAAGCTGAATTATGCGTCCGAAAAGGCGTAGAACGGACTGAAAAATCAAGTCAGATTGGAAGGCCTCTGTAACGAATCGAAACTACAGTACCATCGGCACGATCGGCCAGCAGAAAGAAAAACAGAACAGGTAGTAACCACAGCTGGGTGCATAAACATCCCAATGGAAGAAATCGCGCAAAGTGCGTTTCCCTGCTAGTGGCTGTCGTTGCACCAATCATGACAAAAAGAGAACGTTTTGTGGCCGTAAAGCAAGCACAGTCGTAGCTAATGAGGGAATTGTAGAAAGCGCGAGCAAGCCAGATAAAGGAGACAAATAACACTGCCACAAAGTAGTGGGCAAAGTTGGTTTCCAATGTACAAAGTTGTCACAGAAATGATATATTAATCTAACTCATCGAGACTGAGATTAAAGGTGGGGTCGCTTGCAATTGAGTTCTGAGTTGGGGTGGCTTCAGCGGAAGACGCATTCAAGTTTGCAGACCGGGACGGTGAAGACAGTGTGGAGGAGGAGGAGGAGGAAGACGATGACGACGTAGAATGAAGAGTCGTTTTGCTAGAACTAGACCAGGAGGTGCCCGACGATGAGGAAGATGGAGAGGACGAAACGGAAAGGTTCGCATCGGAATCTGCACCAGCCAATTCAGTGATATTGCGTGAAATGGAACAAGAGTCAGACGTGTCATGGCTGCTCACACTAGTAGCAGATGAGCTATTATTGAAATCGCGAGTCCTAGAAGTTGTTTCGCTTCGCTCCACGGGGCAGTTTGGTCGATGAAGTAAGATGAAGGATCCCAATATATCCGACCGATCACCATCGCTTGATTCACTTGTGTCCGTCAGGGTATCGTTGGTAGCATCCCGCCGACGCACAGTGCGAGCGTGAAATTGCGCTACGGATTCAATAGCCGACAAGACCTCATTGGGATCAGAGAATAAAATAAACCGGTGATGTCGAAGCAAGATAATGGCGCTAAGACGTTACGAGAAAACAGCCCACCATATCATCACAAAATAGTTGTTGTAGGTTGTCTGCCGGTCGATTTTTTGAAAAGAGATAGGATGAGAATCTAATATCGATGCAGATTTTGGTGGCACAAAACCCATTTGATTGCTAATCAGGTAGGCATTTAAGGGCGACCCGAAACTAACAGCAATCGTGCTGAGGCACGTGCTGACGCAAAAACTAGGTTAATAGGACTGGGACAATGGTGTGAAAATACCGGCAGTTGCGCAGACAGCGGTTAGGTAACAAGCGGATGGAGAATAATAAATGGAATGCGAAGGAAAGTGTGTATTCGCTAAACTGATCAAATTGTAAACGCTGGTGGCTCAAAATTACCCCTCCCCGTAGCTTACAGGTGGCCTGAATTAAGCGAGAAGATTACTGAGATTGAATGTGGATCCAGAGGAAGGTTGGAATTTGGTCAAGTTTAAAATAAGGAATGGAACTCAAGAGAGTTGGTGTACTGGACGGATACGGGTTCCCATGAAGCAAATCACAAGACGCAGTTCTGGATAAATCCGAATCGACAAAACGAGTGGCAATACAGAACATGAAACAGGGATGATCAGACATGACCACAGGGCTCATATGAAAACCTACTCGAGAATCCGCCTCTGCCAAGCCATCCAGCTGATTCCGCTCGCAGGTTCTGTTGATCCAATTTTGAGCGACACGCTGCACATGGAGGAATAATGCGGACGGACACATAGATTGCAAGATGCACAAAGGTAGTATCAAGTTGTGTGCATGGGTATTGGTTGTATTTGTAACAATGTGGTGGAATTAGAACCTAAGGTTATCTGACGTTGCGCCTGAGGAACAGGTACTGAGGTCCGATCGTACAAACGCATGATCGATGTCAATAAAGTAGTGGGGACCAAAGGGGATGGTGTGTTCGGAGCACTTGAGAGTACAGTTCCTAGGTAAACGATTGATAAGCGAGACTCAGGGTCGCGATAAGGTGTAGACAAGTAGAGGAATTAAATGATCAATGGAGAAGCTTCAGGACCACATAGCACGCGGATGCAAGTGCGCTTGTCGCATGTGTCGAGAGAGGGGGGCCTTTGATTCACGCTACAGTATATCATTAAAATTACAATAACCTTCAAAGTGATGCAGGTCCAGTTTAGGCGATACGTCCATTATAGAAGATTATAGTACACATTAGAGCACACAACGGGATATAAAATCGGTGAACACAAAAGTGGTTAGTTAACTGAAAAGTGTGTGATATCTCAGTAAGCCAACAAGTATTATCAAACGTGATTTCGTCAACCTCACTGTGCGGTTGGCCACGCAAGTAAATGTCTCTCATGCCGGCAACGATGTATGAGCAAAAACGCCTTGAAGTAAGGCGGAAAAAATATTCATTTTAGTGAGTTTACTCAAAAGAGAAAAATAATGGTAACAGGTCATGCCTGTGAGGTGACGATCTTTGTCCATGGTAGCGGTGGATGGATAGGCTGAAGCGGGATTAGGAAAGCTAGGAAAAGCCCCGACTTCCTTAAGTAAAACTAGTCGTCTTGTGTAGATCATGCAAACGACGCAGTTGCGCAATAAATTTATGGGGTCAAGAGCATGCAGCGGCAACTGATACGTGAGGAATGCGAAGTGGTAGAGATTGATCAACTGTAGACAAAAACAGTAATAGTTGCGGCTCTAAAGAGACCGTAGAATTAAGTGGACATGCCAGGTGGATATCTTCAAGACTTGGTGGAAAGTATGGAGGACATATTAGTGGGCTGTCGAAAAGTGCTAGGTAAGGACAGCCCATCTAAATGAAGAATATTATCTTTCGATTTTCAAAGATTCCAGGAATGATAAGGGTGAAAGCAAATTCCACTGTATACATATCTACCTAAGATCATACATCTAAAGGGATAGCAAAATATGGGACAGGCCAAAGTCCATATACTTACCAACTGCAGGTCCTGTCGATTGAAGGGTAATAGTGATTGAGGTGGAAAATTTGGCTGAGATCCGTCTTCTGAAAAATCGATTTTTGGAACAACATAATTAGTCAAAACATCCGATCGGTTTAGTGATAAGGAAGGCGCTTGATCGGAAGAAACAACACGGCAGTTCGAATGCTTCCTACCACGCTTGCGACTGCGATCGGACAGGAACGAAGGTGCATCTAAGTCACTTGAAATAGAATTACGCTCGGCTCTATAAACTGCAGAATCCTCTGATGGGGAAGATGAACGATGAGGTCTTTTACGAATAGAAAGTGAGTGGTTGAAATCAGGAGCAACATCGACTGCGTCGTGCAGCTTTGCGGTTGTGGAGGAAAGGTTTGTGGTGTCCGAGTAATCAGTACCAGACGATGAAGTCGGAGGCGTGGTAGCCGTCAGGGTTTCATTCTCCTGTATTACGTTACACTCTACTCCTCCATTAGATGGCTTGACGTGACGTGTGGAAGACGATGGCGGAAAGCCATCACCAAAAAGAGCCATGGCGAGCTTTGATTTCCGCAGACGTCGTACAGTGCGAGCAATCTTACCAGAAGTGTACTTCAAATGACTAGTGTATAACCCATCCTCGTCCTCTGACATTGGTTTCAAAGGAGACCATACCTGAAATGGAAGGTAAAATAACGTCGGTAAAAGATGCTGCACGATATCACCGGAAGAAATAAATTAAGCGACTGGAACCTTGAACATATAACGCTTCAAGCGATTGATATAAACAATACGAGAAACGATTCATAGATCTGATGACGGTGAGTTCGTTTGGGGTAGGATGAAGCTTTTAAACGTAATGGACAACATCAATGTTTATCGAAGGACGACAATTACTAACCAATCATTGCTCTCGCGGCTCATAGCTATCCTTGGTAAATAGGGGATGTAGAGTCAGGATGGTGGTTGTCAACCGTCAGCTTCAACTTCAAAAACAGCCATAGGATAACTTCGAGGGATCACAATCCGTACCGCAGCCTACAGTTCATTAAAAATCACTTTCGAGACAGATCAACTAAAAAAACCAAGATAACTTTCAATACAGTAGACGACACAGTGAACAAACATGCTTATTTCGCTGAGTGAGGAAGCAACGCAACACATAGAGATTTACAGTGGTTGGTCACAGTCATCTGAAAGCTGTCAGGCGACAACGGCTAACTACAACACTGTCTAGTGCTAAAGAGAAATTTTCCCCAATTAAAACAACCCAAGAGTAGCGCAATGACCTGCGCGAAAATCAGCACAAAGTTGGCCAAGAGACTTGAGGCTTCTGGGGTCATTTCAACTGTCCCTTCTCAGAAGGGCATTTATCATGAAGGACAGTTCCGGCTGATTCAAGTGGAGTAGTGATGCCAGGTTATCAATGGAGCGATCACGAGTAACCCGAGGATAGAACTCTCACAAGATCCCGTCCAACCGTTAGAAAGTGCCTTCAAAAGGCTGACACAAAGTGTTTGCATACTTTGACACACAGTTCGCACAAGTGGAGCGGAGGGAGAGAAAGACACACTGTTAGTTATTGTGTCTATACAGCAATCACAGTCAATCGGACAGAAGGATTGGCAAAAGCCACTTTACGCACCACTACGGTTCGATGGCTAGATGGAAGGCTACAATCATGTGAGCAAACGCCAGCTGCTCACCATCCAAGAAAGAACAGGGATTAGCGCACTGCAACGCGGCCCATGCCTCAGTAGGCAAAACATAACCGCCACAGGTTGAAGACATAAAACGACTGCACAGATACTGCTCAGAATTGATGATGGGAAAGATTGCGGAATACAGGTGTTCGTAGACAAGTGTTTGGTCAGGGATGCTCTAGTGCCGCACACGGTCGCAGGTTAAAAGTAGTACACCAACAACGGATGGACTACGTATGTCAGACGCCTGTCGGCTGTAGGCCTCGGAATAAGCTGGTCGGAAAGCAATATGTGGATTGTATTCCAAAGGGGTCATTTGAAGTTACGAAGGAAAAAAATTAAAGGAAGAATTAGAACAGCCAGGTTCACAATGTCCTTGCGGATTGAGGACATCTCATCAGCCACTTAAGCGGACATAGACATCACATAGAAAACGGAAGTATCGAGGAGAAGACAACGATTGTGCACTGGGTCCCAAATCAACAGTTTCCCACCCAAGCCTTTCCAGTGTACCAAGCCGCTTCACAAGAATAACTAGCGTTGTGAATTCCAAATGCACCAGAATGGTGAACGCTACTGACAGTTAATTGGTTGTCAAATGTCATTCACAAGTACTCGGTAGGAGGCAGCACGCACGATTTCGACTCTTTCCCAGTCGATATCTGACCCACATAAGGAACAACGATCTCATGGAGGTTGAAATCTAACGAATTTTATTTCTCAACTTTTTTGCTTTAGTAGCGAGTTAAGCACTCATGTGTTTTGGTTACGTTGTACAACACCGCGTTTCACATAGTTTTCACCATGTCTGCGGAGTTGTTGCTGCATGAAATCACCAGGTGGAGTCAATCGTATCCCTGGTTTACAGATAGACTGGTAGAATCTCGGTTTAGCAGCCCAATGCCCCCTGTTCTAAGTATTCACTGTTCAGAAGGTGCGTCACTGATGATTTGCCTAGTTCTCTGTGTTTTCCGCTGTTAAAACAATGTTCACAACAATTATGATAATAGGCATCAGCACCCCGACTAACATTATCATTATTATCCGTATCATCGTAGGGACGGTGTCAGGAGTGGTGTGGACGAGCGAAAATGAAATAAATGACTGGTTGTCGCGTGAAGACAAAGTAGCGTTGGACAGGCAGTGCGTTTTTGGGCTTCCGTCGACACGTCAAAACAAACCAAATTCCGCACAATGTACATATGCAAAAAATACACTGTGCTTAGGTGGACAACAGACACCATGGGTGTCGGTTGATCACTAAAGCATGTACGGCTTCCAAGCAAGCACAGCGTGGACCCCGACCCAGAGGATGAAGCAGCCAGAAGGAACATACCATAGTGACCAGCGACATCATTCCTCACTTACAACTCAACGGTTGCTCCTCGAATCGCAAGCCACGCTAAATCGAGTAAACAAAACAAGGTTCTGATAGGTAAGCAAAAGGCGGACAACCATAGCACGTGTTTCTCCTAGCCAAGCGGTCAGTCGTCTTACTACCGGTCAAAAAGCAGTTATCAACCGGATCAACTCAACGACATGAAGTGTTCAAATATGGCAATGTAATCTGCGATTATATGGTTCAAAGATACCATCTTGTAGTGAAACAAAGAAGGTACTACTGCGACAAGAGTCAGCATAGAAAGAGCAAAAAAACAGGTAATGGGGCCAAAACTGGAATATACCCAAGCCTAAACAAAAGAAGAAGGCTTGGGAGCTGCAGATATATGTGCACTAGGAGCAGATACAGAAGCGACACGTGCCACGCAGCCTCCGGGAGAGAGTTCGAAAACAAAAGGAACTGTTTATAATCAAAGCGAAAGCATTTGGGTGATGATATTTGTCACAAGAAATAACTCCGTTCGCACTCTAGAATTTTAAAACTGGTGACAAGGTAGATCACATATAGTCCTTGACAGGAGCCAATTGAAGAAGGGGATGTGTGGCGGAGGTCGGATAGAAGACCGACTCGGGGAAGCTGGCGGCCATGCGAAGGGCCAAGGCGGTGGGAAAGGGTCCCGTCAAGTTGGAATGGATCGCTGCAAAAGATGCGTCGTTCTCTAAACCGGACAGTCCGGCTGACAACCAGCAGGCAATGCGGTGGTTAAAAGCGGCCCGGCTTGGAGCAATTGCTGAACGGTCTCCAGCAGTAGATTGCGGAACATGTACTGACTTCGAACAACAACGGGAGATTTCGCTTGGAGGAGCAAACGCAGGTGAATCGTGATCTGAGCAATGCGCCGCTGGCCGTGTTCGTGGAGGACCCACGTAAAAGTTTGGAAACGTTGGACAGATTGGAGCGGATGATGCGGTACATCGAGAAAAGACATTAGTGGCACCTGCCTTCAGTAGCCAGAGGAGCAAACAACAGGATGTTGCTTCTATTGTGGAAAAGCAGGGCATTAGAAGCAACGAGCCCGGCGAAGCGCACTTCACCCCATGTACCAAATCAAAGTGTTCAAGCTTCATTTCGGGTCGACAAAGGTGCGCTCAGAGCGATGAATAAGGGGCGATCGAAGCAAGAGTGGAGGCAGATGGGACGATGGAATGGTGCCGCCCCAGTGTCCCGGATCAGCAATTAGAGGCAAAAACTCCAATCGTGCTCCATGACTGTTGGCAGTCACGCAGCATGGATGGATGGTATAAAGGAAAAAACAAGAGAATCGAAGTAGGAAATTAAAACGCGCCGTCGTGTGTTAGATCCAAAGCAGACCATAATGGAGGCAGATTTCTTGGAGTGCAACAAAGCTAGCGTCGAGTTAAAAAGATGGAAGCTGTGAAAAGAACACAGCACTCGGTGTCACACATGAGCCCAGTCTTACAGTTAACCATTAACAAGTACCACGTGTTTACGGATGAAGGCAGCCTGTATGAAATTTGCCACTGGAGCGAGCACACCGTTCCGCTAATCCGACAGACATACCGCCTAATGTGGCCTCGAAGTACACCAAATCGTTTGGATACCAAAGTGAACAGGCGAGTACAGGAGATGCTGGACGCGTATGTGGTTGAAGAGGCGCACAGGCCATACAATTCCCCAGTTGTTTTGGTGAAGGAGGTTAATGGGAAATACGGTTTCTGTGTCGACTTCCGAAGGATGAATGAAATCACCTTGAGTCATTTCGTCCCAGTACCACACGCCGGTTGGGCTTTCAGATACAGTAACACCGATTGGGGACCCTAGAAGTCATGGCTGAAGACCGACGTCAATGGTGGACATGTATCTCTGCGTGTTGCGGTGATTTCCCTTCCCTAATGAAACAAACAGATAAAACTCAAAAATGGTGTAAAAAACCGGACAAAAAGGCATTGTTTAATAATATCCTGCTTTCTTATTTCGCCATATATATATATATATCACTGTGGTCAGGATATTGTATCATCAAAATCATCGTACCATCAGTTGCTGACAATTTTGCCAGACTGCAGCAGTCAAGAATATTGACGGTCCTGAGTATGAGATCAAGACTGACAGCTGGCAACCAAACGAGAAGATTAGAAAAATACTGCGTTTATATATAAATATTAATATATAAATATATATAAATGGCTTCGAGATGACCGCTGCGCTCTGCCTCTGATTGGCTATACACAACGATATCATCCCCCTATACTGCTACGTTCTCTAATCCATCCAGAAAACATAGTAGTAGAAGTCGGAAAGTGAACCGGGCTTCCAATAATCTAAGGGGCATCTTTTAAATTGTCATTTGCTACCGACCGTAAACGCAGTATTTTTCCAGTCTTCCCGTTTGATTTCCAGTTACCAATATCTTGATCGCATACTCAGGACCGTCAATGTTTTCGACGGCTGCAGTCTGGAATAAATGTCTGCAACTGATGGTACGATGATACCGATGACACAAGATCTGGACCACAGATCGCCTTCTTCTCTGTATCTGCGGCCGTGATATCCTTACTCCACGCCCCTGGACGATCCACTCCGGATGCACATTGTTGTCTGCCGTGTCC